GGGCGAAGGGCGTCGATCCCAGGAGCCGTGCGTTTCCTGAATTTACGCGCCGCCCCTCTGATGTCCTCCACCGTCCTGACCTTCATGCACATCTCCTCCACCTGCATCCCTTTCTCCTCAGCCTGGGCTTTGATCTGATGAGTAAGGTACTCAATGGGGTCAGGGTACTTATCAGTCTTTCTGGGGCCCCCAAACACCGGTCCAGTAGTCGGTCAGGGCATCGACCTGCCCTTGAGGGCCCAGCGGGGCCTGAACACCAGATTGAGAACCAACCTCGGACGGCACCCACCCAATCGGACACTGAGTATACTTGTGGGCAGCTCCTCCCCCACTAGTCACCGCCTCAGCCACCCGAGACCTCCGCTGCTTACCGCGGGTAGCGGTGTAGGCCCTCTCTGTCTTCGTCGCAGCCTTCTCAGCCTGCGCAAGGAGGTCCGCGAGCTGAGCGGCGCCGGCAGCGTGCAAATGACTGAAGCTGGGGGCCCAGGCCTTCCAGTCGGGATTGGATCTGAGCTCCTTGGGCCTCTGGCCAGGCCACGCAGGACGCCCATGCAACAAACATTGCCCCAAGCGGGGCCTTTGACAAGGTACAGCAGTTCCCCCCAACCACTTACATATCCTCCTCCAACCTCGGCGCTCTGAGCTGGCAAGCGGGCACGGCCCACCAGAGAGACGAACCGCCGAGACAGTGACCTGCTGCGGGGGATAGCCTCGACCAAAAGGGCTGCGCTCGTGCTGCTGCCCATGATACTCGGCCAGCTCAAGTTCCAACGCTTCAACAAAACGGATGTAGCAATCGTCTAGCTCCTCCATCCTCTCAATGCTATCAACCTCCTGCAACAACCTGCCATAGTCCCTGGGCTGGCACCTCGGGCCTACGACGAGCTCAGTCGGGAAAAGGCGCGGCAAGCGGAGGACGTTGATCTTCTCATCCAAGGGCCTGCCTTTAAACTTGACCACCACTGGCCAATGAAGTCTGGCAGATGCCTTCCTGCTGATCTCACAAGACAAGACGTTGGCAGCGAGACCCGCGGAAATGACAAAAAAAAATCAATCGTGCGCCACTTCTTAGCAGTCGACTTACACGTGTACGAATCAGGACGGACGATGCGACCACGAAGTTTCGGAGGCCAGCCCATCTCCTGAAGCACCTCTGGAGTAGCGTTCCAGTCCCCGCCCAAGACGAACGGGAGCCCCAAGGAGTGCAAAACTTCTCCGACCCTTCCGATAATTTCACTGCCAACAGCCCCCAATGGATCGTCATCAGGTAAGTAGATTGAACCGATCACAAAACCTCCAGGAATGTACGCATTCACCTATCTCAACTGAATGCGCTCAGGAAACGGCAACGCGCGAGGTGTAGACGGCGGGGGACTCATGCCAATATGTGACTTGCAGCGCACAGCCACACCTGCAGACAGCCCACCTGCCTCGGTGACATCTGATGCCCCGATGCTGACATTCCAAGCTCGTTTACGAAAAAGATCCGCTGAAGCGACTCGCTCCTTCTCCTCCACAGCAGCCCCCAGGTAAAACCACAACATGGCTCTCGCACTCCCCGTCGAGAAACCGTTTCGCGGACTCCCAGGACGTCGTGCTGCACGTTGTGATGGAAAAATATTTACACTTACCCTCTCCAGTCCCAAAGCCCCCCCCGCTCGGGCTGGCCGTCGTGGGCCTTCCACCTCGAGCGGGCACGTGTTAAAGTCGGGCTCGCCTCGGGGGCTGGGGGAAAGGGCTTAGGGGTCGGCAGCGCAGGCGGGGCGGCAACTGGTGGGGGAGGGACGCCCCGAGGACAGAGCCAGAACGGCCCAGGAGGCCCAGACACCGAAGCCCCCCCCCCCCCCCCCCACCCACCCCCAGGGCCGAGACCGAGGCAGGCCCCCAGTTGCCAGCCCCCCTGGAGCCGCCTTACCCAGAGACCACCAAGCAACCTCCAGTTGCCTGGAGGCTTCGGTAACCCATTCACCGAACCCATGTGAATAAAGCCCGCTGCTGCCTGGCCAAAGCTCACAAAACGACCCAGAGTCAGGCTGACTCTGGTCCCTCAGGTCCAGACCCACAACCCCCGTGGATGTCGAACCCGAACTTCCAGTCGTACTCGACTGCTCCCTCCAGCGATTCCCGCCGCCCGAGTTCCACAGGCATTGGGTCTCCACCATCTCAGGGAACAGCCAGGGCTACGCACTCGACCAGGTACCAGTGGTAGTCGACGAACCGACCACCTGCAGCGCCTCGATGCCGAGGCCCTCGTTGATGCTAAAGTGCAGACCCTTTGCCCGCGCCAGGGCCCTTGCCACCAGCTTCTCCTTTGCCATCATGCGCTCTCTCCTGGGCGATGGCCTCGTCCAGGATGCGCTGGGCCTTCGCCTTGAAGTCTTCGGGGTCGATCTCGATGGTCCCATCAGGCACTTCATCACCAGGAACTGGGGTGGCCTCCGCCATCTGCTCTCCTCCGCCAGGTGCTCCAGCAGGTTGAGAAGCAGAGGCCGCCCCGCACCCTGAACCTCCATCATCAGGCCCTCGACGCCGCTTGGTCTTGAGCCTCTCGCGAAGCTCCTCCTGCTCCTTCCGAGCCAGCTCCGCCTTCGTCTTGAGCTCGCCGAACAGCGCCGTGGCGGTCTCGCGGAACCGCTCCTTGAGCTCCTGCTCGCGCTTCTTGGCCTGTTGGCGGTCCTCGTCCGACACATCAACGAACTCCGCCAGGCCGAACAGGTCCTCACCGCAGGTGAGCTCCCACTTGCTGGGGTCCCCAGCCACGATATCAGCCAAGTTGAAGACCGTCTTCTGGGGCTTGACCACCTGATGCAACTCGGTGACTGCATCACGGTACTGCTGCTCCTGCACCGCGAGCTGCTGCATCGTCTGGCGCAGCATGTCTCGCTTCGTGCCCAGATCCTTCTGGATGGTGGTGATCTCCTCAGTCTGGGCCTTGACCATGCCCTCCAGCGTCTTGCACGCCTTGTAGGACTGGTCCGCCCGCTGCTGAGGAGCGGGGCGCGACTCCGTGAGCACCAGCAGCTGCTCGTAGTAGGCCACCATGGCAGGCGCATGTGACTTGCGGGCCAACTGCAATCCTTGGCGCACCTCTTCGACGGACATGTCGGGTGCGGGGTCAGCTCCAGCGCCTGCCACCAGCCCAACAGGAAGAGGAGCACCTTGAGCCAGCCCAGGCGGACTATCAGGGGCGCTCTGGTCGCGGCCCTTGCCCGCACGGTTCGCCTTGGGCTGGCTGCCCTGGCCACCGTTGTTGCCCCCGTTGTCGCCAGAAGGCGGGGGGCGATCACGCCAGCGTCCACGGCAATGCTTGCACCATGATTGGTCCCAGGGCGTCTTGCCACAACCGCAATGCATGCACTTCCAGAGTCGCGCCTTCGAGCCATTCGCAGTCATGGAACGGGCGCAACACGAGAACTGCCGCGGGAAGCAAGAAGAAAAGGCCTCCTCACCCTGGGCAGGGCTGCTGGTCGAGGAATTGGCCGCGGTCCCTCAACCACCTCGAGCCCCGACCCTGGGGGAGGCGAAGCCCCAGGCAATGGCCTTGAGCCAAGGCTACGGCGCTCCTCCTCCTCCTCCTCCTCGTCCTCCTCGTCCTCCTCCTGCTTCTCCTCCTCCTCCTCCTCCTCCTCCTCCTCCTCGCACCCCCTTTCAGAAGGGGGCTCCTCTGGACATTTCGTCGAACGACAAGGCAGGACCGGGGAGTGGGAGTTGGAATTGGCTACCGCTCACCAGCTGCACAAGGGGAGATACATCGACGATCGTACGTTTTTGCACTCTGTGCCCAAATGACAAGACGGGCTATTTCAAAACGGAGCTCTCGACGGAATGGCAGGTTTATGGGGCTGTCATCTTTCAAGGGGACGGGTGCTACCCTCATTGAGAAAGAACGCTTGCCGAGAAGCTTGCGAAAGGGGGGGCCGGTGACAAAAGGTGATCCTTGGAGCACTGTGGGTGCACCCTGGGCTTACTCTGGCCCCTCCCCCTCCTCGCGGCCCTCCTGAACAACATCCCCCGCCGTCTCCTCGTTCTTTGCTTGGCAGCCGACTTTACTCTGGCCCCTCTCCCTCCTCGCGGCCCTCCTGAACGACATCCCCCGTCGTCTCCTCGTTCTCTGCTCGGCAGCCGACTTTACTCTGGCCGCTCCTCCCCCTCCTCGCGGCCCTCCTGAACGACATCCCCCGTCGTCTCCTCGCTCTCTGCTCGGCAGCCGACTTTACTCTGGCCGCGCCTCCTCCTCCTCGCGGCCCTCCTGAACAGCATCCCCCGTCGTCTCCTCGCTCTCTGCTCGGCAGCCGACGGCGCCGCATCTCGGTGGGATCCACCGCACCAGGGAGCGAGCGCGGCAGCACGGACGATGGACCAGCGGGAGGGCGGCGAGACGAAGGGTCGAGAGCAGGACGAAGCGGCGAGACTGCAGGTGGAGAGGAAAGAGAAGAAGAGAGACAAGGAAAGAGGAGAACATAGAGGAGAAGAGAGAAAAGAAAAGAAGATAGGAAAGGGCGAGAGAGGAGAAGAGAAGGGAGAACGAGATACATATATATATATAGAGAGAGAGAGAGAGAGAGCGATAGAACTGAACGGGACACGGAACGCGGGCGGGCCCTCCCCCTCCCCCTCCTCCTCCTTCTTCTCCTCCTCCTCCTCCTCCTGCACCCTCCTCCTCCTCCTCCTCCTCCTTCTCCTGCACCCTCCTCCTCCACCCAGCCCAAACGTCCGACGCCGTGGTCCGTGCTCAAGAAGGTCTCGGCCCCCTTCCCTCGGACCGACTTTTTATCCAAGGTTTTTCCTCGGCGGCCCTGGGCGCCGCCACCACCCCTGGAGGCCGAAGACGGTCAGGAGCCTCCCGCCACGGCTTTGTCACGCCGCGAGGGGGTCGTGGCCGGGACCAGGACCCTCCTCCTCCTCCTCCTCCTCCTCCTCCTCCTCCTCCTCCTCCTCCTCCTCCTCCCTCCTCCTCCTCCCTCCACACCCGTCCGTCGATCGCCTGGGCGTGGGCCCCCTCAGTCTTCGAGGGCGATCACGCCCCACTTGCCCAGCAGCTGCTCCACGTCCTCCGTGGTGGCCTGCGGCCGCGGCGGGAAGGGTCACGAGCCCCCTGCCCCACCCCATCCCCCTCCTCCTCCGCCTCCTCGCTCATTATCCTTTTCCTCCTCGCTCCTCCTCCGCCCTCCTCCTCCTCGTCCTCGGCCCTCCTCCTCCTCCTCCTCCTCCTCCTCCCTCCTCCTCCTCCTCCTCTTTCTCCACCTCCTCGTCCGTGCTTCTCCTCCTCCGTCTGCTCCTCCCGTCCTCCCTCTCCTCCGTCCTCCTCCCCCTCCTCAGGCGCCTATCCCTTTCATTGCGAACTCCCCGTTCCCTCCTCTCGGCTGTTTCCCTCTTCCTCTCGTGCGGCCTTGCTGCTGCTACTTCTCCGAAAGGAAAGGTTGATGCAGATTGATCAATGCGGTCTCTGATGCGATAGCTTCGGCCTGAGATGCGGATCGACTTGTTGTATGTACGAAACGTGTCGAAATCTGCCACTCTCCTCCCTAGCCCCCATCCTCCTCCTCCATTCCTCATCAACCACCCTTCTCCCTCGCCGCTGCTCCTCCCTCCTCTACGTCACCTCATCCTTATCCATCGCCTCTCCTCCTCCTCCTCCACTACCTGATCCCCCAATATTCCTCAGACATGCTCGTGTTTCCTCACCTCCCTCTCGTCCTGGAATACCCATTATGTTGCATCCTCCATCCTCATCGGAAATTCCACCTCTTCCGTCAATCTATTTTTCTCAATGCTGCTCAGATCTCCTCATCCTCCTCGCTCTTCCGCGTCGTTCGCATCCTCCATCCTCCTCGTCATCACCTCGTCCTACATCCTCATCTCCTCAATCCCCTTCCCTTCTCAGCACTCGTCTCTCCTCCCTTCTCATCAATCCTCACTCCTCCTCCTCCTCCTCCTCCTCCTCCTCCTCCTCCTCCTCCTCCTCCTCCTCCATCCAGCATCACCTTCCTCCTCCTTCCACCTGCCCCTCATCCTGAGCTTCCTCTGTCCTCCTGCTTACCCAATGCCCTCCTACTCCATCTTGCTCCCCCCTTACGGTTGAAATTGGAAAGACCACGTGCAACATGGATCACCGAAAAAAGCACGCTATCCCTGTCAGACGATCCCTCCACGAGGGCCCCTTCTCTGCACGCCATCCCCCCGCCAAGACTGCTTCGGTGCACGCTATCCCCAAGGGGAGGGATGTAGCATGCAGTAGGCGGGCCCGCGGCTCAAAATCGCACGCTATGTATACAGCGCCGACCGTACTTCCTCTTCCCTGCCCCTAATCTCGGGAGCGTCCAAGGGGGGGGGCGTCAAAGAGGGGGGGTCGCACGTCAAGGTCCCAGGCATGTGCGCGGGCGGACCCGAGGGTCGGGCTCCGCCTCGACGGCCTCTACCCCAATCATGGCGCCACCGCGAGGATCGCTGCTCCCTGGGAACGACTGGTGGCGTCGACGTCGGCGACGAGCTCGACGATGACGACGACGACGACAACGACGGGCTCGACAGCGACGACGACGATGATGACGACGATGACGACGACGATGTGCTGGGCATGGGCGAGGCCCGAGAGGAGATCGCCGCGACGCCTCGTCGCCGCGCTGGAACTCACTGAACCCGACGATCGTGTGGTCCGTCTTCCCCTGCTTGCAGAGCACCAGGGAGGGCAGGCACCTGGCACGGAAGGGCAGGGAAGGGGGCGCAGAGAAGCGGGAGGTGGAGGCGAGCCTCGGATCGGCATCGGATCGGATCGGATCGGGCATCGGATCGGATCGGGCATCGGATCGGGCATCGGATTGGAGCCGCAGAGATGCGTCGAATCGCGGCATCGGATCGGGCCGGGGACAGGCCGCATCCCCAACGAACCGTCGGGGCCCGAATCGACGTCGGACCGCCGCGCCCGGCTCGGACCGTCCCTGGCCGACACAGGGGGTATCGGACCAGACGGGATCGAATCGGAATCGAGGCCCCAGCCGCCCAATCGAATCGACGTCGGCCGACCCCTCGATTGACTGGCGGCGTTCCACCCATCGCGGGGCTCTTCACGAGCTTCCTCGATCTCCGGCTCCTCCTCTGGGGCATCCGCGCAAGCCGGCATGGGGCACCGTCACTAACCCCCGATGTCTGCCACAGGGATGCAGCCGCGGGACAAGACCTTGAACACATCCCCAGCGCCTCGCCACACCGAGCTGAAAACAGCCTTGAAGTGGGGCGCAACTGACCAAACAGCCGATCACGACAATGACGGTGACGGAGGCCACGTCGTAACCGGTCTCGGATGCGGTACGTATTCTCGGTAGTGGTCGCGGCCTCTGCCATGTGAATACTGGTGGTCACTGTGATGCTCGACTTGCTTGAGGTGCTTGGTCGTGGCTGTCACACTGATGGTAGTCACAATGGTCGAAGACGCTGTGGTCGTGTTCGTGTGAGGCGTGGTTGATGAAGCCGTGGTCGTGTGAGGCGGGACGCCGACCACGCACGCGAAGCCAGGGCAGTCAGCAACACCCTGACCAGGAGACCCGACCACCAAACTGGCCCGTCAGCCCATGGCCACCGACCAGCCGAAATCGCCGCATGTTCCTGGCGCAGCGCCCACGAGTGCGGTGCGCCAGTGGCCCCGTCGAACAAGTACGCGGAGCCATGCCACCACTGATCATTCACGAGCCCCGCGACCACGCGTGCCCCTCGGACCGAGATTGCCGAAACGGTCGTCGGCGGACCAGTCCTCCGGCACAAGCTTGCGCAGCTAAGCGAACGTGGCCCCGTCGAACACGTACGCGGAGTCAGTCGCGTCATAGTCATGACAAGCCCCGACGGCCACACGCGCCCCGTCGGAGCTCATGACCACCAAGACGCCGCAAAAGTCCCTCTGTGGCACCGTCCTCCGCAATGAGCTTGTGCCACTGCTCGCCCGTGGCCCCATCAAACAGGTACGCAGAGCCAGTCCTGGAGCCGTCATAGCACGCCCCACGGCCTCACTGCGACAACGACGAGGCAATGAAAAGCATCGTCTCGCGAGGAGGCAGCAGGGGAGGAGAGAGGAGGGGGAGAAGGGGGAGAAGCGATGGGAAGGTGGATCGGGGGCGCGCAAACATGGATTAGCGATCCATGGATTTGGCGCGCGGTCGCCAAGTCCATGCGGGGGAAATGCCCTCCCCAAAATCTGGCTGGTGCCGCCTCGGTCGGCGGCGGAAATCCGCGATCTCCTTTGGAAACGGGACCCGTCGCTAATCCACGCCCCCTTGATCCATGTTTGCGATCGCCTGAGTGGAGAAGGGGGGACTCGGGGCATCCGACATGCCCCTCCCCACGACCCAATCCTCGTCCTCCCCCCCTCCTGCTGCTGGCGCTGCTCCTGCTGCTGCTCACGCTCCTGAGGCTGCCGCCTCACTCCTCCTCACACACTCGCTAAAGTGGAGGCTCTTGGGTCTGATGGCTCTGCGGTGGAAAGCGTGACGTTCCCACACCAAGTACTCCGACGAAGGACCCCACATGAGAGATCTGTCCAGCTTGCCCTTAACCCTTTTTCCTCCTCGCCTTGGCAGACACCCTCCTCTCGCCTTCTGCTCTGCCCTCTCCTCTTCCTCCTCCTCCTCCTCCTCCTCCTCCTCCTCCTCATTACATTTCTTCTCCTCCTCCTTCTATTTAGCCTTCTCTTCCTTCTCCACCTCCTCATCTTCGTCGCCCACTCCCCATCCCTTCCCCGTCGTCATCTTTCCCCTGCTTCTTATCCATGTGCTCCCCGCTTCCCCCTGGTCGGGGCAAGCACATCGATTTCCCTCGTCGCCGTCACCGCCTCGGCCAGCGCGCGCGCATTCGCCGACGGCTGGTTCGCGAAGCCTTTGGGGCAGCTCCGACGACTCCGGGGTCCCCGAACGGCCTCCAGACGCCAAAATCAAAACGCCGACCCGACACCGACGACGACGATAACGTTGAGGGAGCTCCCGCCTGAGACTTCCTCGCAATTCACTCACAGACGAGGCTCCCGCCTGATACTTCCTACATATTCAAGCCTGGCGAGCCCAAAAGTGACGACAATTACAGGATGCCGATGACCCGCCTCGGATTCGAACATGAAATGCGGGCCCCTCCGGGAGGGAGCTCCCGCCTGAGACTTCCTCACAATTCACTCATAGACGAGGCTCCCGCCTGATACTTCCTCACTATTCAAATCTGAAGAGCCCAAAAGTGACGACAAATACAGGATGCCGATGACCCGCCTCGGATTCAAACATGAAGTGCGGGCCCCTCAGGGAGGGAGCTCCCGCCTGAGAATTCCTCACACTTCACTCACAGACGAGGCTCCCGCCTGATACTTCCTCACTTTTCAAATCTTAAGAGCCCAAAAGTGACGACAAATACAGGATGCCAATGACCCGCCTCGGATGCAAATATGAAGCGCGGGCCCCTTAGGGGAGGGGGCTCCCGCCTGAGACCTCCTCGCAATGCACTCACAGACGAGGCTCCCGCCTGATACTTCCTCCATATTCAGGCCTGAGAGGCCCAAACATGACGTGACGACAGTTGCAGGATGCCGATGACCCGCCTCGGATTCGAACATGAAGTGTGGGCCCCTTAGGGAGGGGGCACCCGCCTGAGACTTTATCGCAATTCACTCACAGACGAGGCTCCCGCCTGATACGTCCTCCATATTCAGGCCTGAGGAGCCCAACAGTGACGACAGTTACAGGATGCCCATGACCCGCCTCGGATTCGAACATGAAGTGCACGCCCCTTAGGGAGGGAGCTCCCGCCTGAGACTTCCTCACCATTCACTCACAGACGAAACTCCCGCCTGATAACAAATACGGGATGCCGATGACCCGCCTCGGATTCGAACACGAAGTGCGGTCCCCATAAGGAGGATGAGACTTCATCGCAATTCACTCACAGATGATGCTCCCGCCTGAGACATCCTCCATTGTCATGCCAGGGGGTGAGTGATGACGAAATGATGAGTGAGTGAATGATGATGGTGAGTGAGTGAATGAGTGAGTGAGTGATCATGATACGGTGACGATGAGAAGTGAGTGCGTGAGTGTGTGATTGAGTGAGTGTGAGTGTAAGTGAGTGTGTGATTGATGAAGATGATGATGACGATGATGCTGATGATGATAATGATGATGATGATGATGATGATAATGATGATGATGATGATGATGATGATGATGATGGTGACGATGATGATGATGCTGCTCATGATGATGATGCTGCTGCTGCTGCTGATGATGATGATGATAAGCGAGTGAAGGAGTGAGTGAGGGTGAGTGATAACGAGGGAGAGAGGGTGTGTAACAGGACTGCGCGGGGTGTCCAGAGACAACAAGAACCCAGGCTTAGGACGTGGGGAAAAATCGATGGACGCCCTGGGGTCTCAGGTCTCTGGTTGAAGGTTCCTCGTGGCCTGGTCTCCACGGTAACCCTCTCCCTTCTCCTCCCCTCGGCTCCCCTCTGGACCTCCTCGGAGGTCGGGCGGATCCGGCCCGGCCGGCGCCGCGCGACCCCGTCCAGATAGTTCGATGGGGGTCGGGCGGGGACCTCGGCACTTGCACTGCTTCCGAAGGGTCTGAAAACAGGAAGAGAGAGCGAGAGAGAGAGAGAGAGAGCAGAGTGGGCTCTCGACGGTCCACGCGGAGTTCCCGTCTATTGCTTGCACGGTCTCGACGGTCCACGGTCTCGACGGTCCACTTGCACTGCTTCCGGGGTCTGAAAACAGGAATCGGGAAGACGCAAGACACGGGTACGGGGGACTCGGGTTGGCCAGACGGAGCCGTCATAAAACTGACGAGGCCCAGTCTGAAATTTGACGCGAGCTCCCACTGCAGACACCCCACGAAGACTGGACCATCAAAATCCAGGACGCGCACTTCCAAAAACGTCGGCGGACCCGAGATACGGCTTACTCGAGTCTTACGTTTCCCCGAAGGAAGAGAGCGAGAGAGAGAGAGAGAGAGAGAGCGAGAGAGAGCAGAGTGGGCTCTCGACGGTCCCCGCGGAGTTCCCGCATCTGCGCCCAGACGCCAGTCCTCTGGCGCGCGGAGCGCCGCCAGAGGCGCCGCCGGAGGGCCCAGCGCGGTTCCGAGAAATCCCCGCGGACCGCCGAAAGCTCATGTTACCGCTTGCCATACTTCGAAGCACGGGGGGGGGAGCTGCCAGCAAAGTTGGCACGGCAGGAGCACCTTGCGAAAGCACCTCACCCTTCCTGCATGCGACGGACCTCTCTGATTGACGTCGGCAGTGAAGAAGGATCGAGACGACACGGCTGATGGTCACGTGGCCTGGTGACCAGTGCACTTCAAAAGGGTTCATACGCCTAGCTGGGCATCGTCCTGTCATTCCGTTCTCATCAAGTCTCTTGATCCTGTTCCCCATCATGGAAACGCATGGCAATATGACCAGTGAACACTTGTCTACAGTTAGCACATCAAGACTCAACACTTCGAGATTTATCTAGTTGGCCCGGCTGCACCATATGTGGAGACGCTCCGAGAGAAACTGGGACTTCTCCGCGTCCACCTTGACGAAGCGTGTGCCTGCAGCCCACCCCCCTGACCGCTCGGTGCCGCGCCCTGCAATGTGGGCAACGGCGGAAGGCTCGCATATCTGGCACCGTGCCGCGAGGCACCGAGCAGAGAACCCCCAGGCCCCGAGAAGAAATCTCGATCGCCAAGAATTAAGAAAAGACACGCGCCCTTCAACCCCCGCCCCTGCGAGAAGAGAGGCGAACAAACCCGGTGGCATGGCAAATATCAACCGGCATCGAGCCCAGAAATCGGATCGAATCGGACGGTGCGTCGGGTCGGGTCGCGTCGGCAAGCACGGAGGCGGCTCGGCTCGTCACGGAAAGATCGCGTCGGATCGGCTGCGCCGCGGTGCACAACGGCGCCACGCATCGGGCCGCATCGGACCGTCCAGAAGATCGGAATCGGATCGGATCGAGCCAGCCAGAATCGACATCGGATCGAGATCGAACCAAAACATGCCCTGCTCTGGCGCCCCCGTCCCAAACATCTGACGTCGTGATCTGTTTTCGGGATGTGGACCCCCAGAGGTCAGGACCCCTTCTTGGGCACCTGCTCTCATCCGAACCGCAATCTTTGGCGGTCCAGGGGCCTTGTGGACCGGAGAGCGGCGAGACACTTCGGGTACACTCTTCCCGCGGGGCCGTCGCGCTGAAACTCCGAAGGGGAGCCCCAAACGGCCGACAACAGCATGACATACTGCTCGCCACCGCCGTCCATCCACGACGCGAGGGGGTCATGGCTCCTCCGTCCTCCGTCCACCTGGCGCCTGGGCATGAGGCCCCGCTGGGGAAGAGACGGGAGGCTCGAAACGCGATTCTGTCCACGGCGCCAGGGGGTCATGGTTCCTCCGTCCCCCATCAGCCTGGCGCTTGGGGCCCCGAAAAGAAGAAACGGGGAACAGCTAGGAAAAACAATCGGCACAAACGTGAACCATCCGCCCCAGCCCCGAGGGGCACTCGGCGAAAACGCCTCAACCAGAAATGATGCTCCGCCATCGAGCAGGGAACTGCAGCGAACTTTCGGATCGCCGCTGGATCCCCCCGCGAGGGCCAAAAGGGCGGCGCCGGAGAGGCCGGCCGAGGGGCCCCAGCTCCGACACGAGACATCCCCGCGGACGCCCGACAGCTTGTGTCTACAAGTGCCCACTCTGGAGGCCTACCAGATGGGGCGGGCGCGCCGCATCGCCGACGCATCGCCGATGCATCGGCGATGCGTCGGCGACCCATCGGCACCGCAGGCGTGGAGAAAATGGGGCTACACGTCGATGCGGCGCGATCCTCCGACCCAACTTGCTCGGACTCCACCTGGGAGGCCCGAAACTCACTCACAACGCGGTGTGGTCACCACGCGGGTTGGGCCCCCCGATCCCCGAGGGGAGGGAGGAAGCCAAGAGCTGCCTGGGGGAAAAGGAGCGCGCGGCCAGCTGCGCGGAGGGACTAAAGAAATGCATGTAAACAGTGATGTGGAAAAGGTGACTGGTTTCCTGAGAGAGAAATGGTACGTGAGAGGTATTTTAGGCGAGACTCAAGCGGGCGCGCCAGACTGCAACCTGTAGGTGGCAACGGCAAGGACAGGTAGGGAAAAGGAAAAATAGGCATGGCTGGTAGCATTCGGGTCTGGTGTTCAAGCCGGTCCGTCGTGCCCTCGTTGGTCTCCCATGTGCAAGCCGCACAGGAAACCACGGCGTGAGATTCCCCTGGGTGCTCTGATGACCGCACCCATAATTACAACATGTCAGTCTGCCTCGAGGAGTGCTCTTCTAACCACTCTCAAGAAATATGGGGCGCTCTTCTGACCACAGCCTTCATGAATACTTGCCAGCCTGCTGCAAGCGACATGTTACTGGCGGGGCACAGGCAGATGATCGCGGCTGCCCAGCTGAAGCAATCAGCTGGAGCAGCACTCACTTGTGCGTTTGATATACTGTTTGCTCTCGCTGGGCAAAGTCCGCGAACTTGACGACCAAGTGGCTGCTTGAGAGGGCCGATCCGCGCACCGTTAACCGGGTTTGCGGTGGTCGACCTTGTGACACAGTCACACGAGTTGCCTCTTCACTGATCGGCGAAAGGATTGCGCTGGGATCATTTTCTTCTCGTCGCCGAAATTGACCAGATCATGGTTGTGGCTCATCTGGCCGTCCATAGCGCGGAGGATGAGCCCCCGGCCCATGCTGCCCTCGGCCACCGGGTCGGCCCGCATGTCCAAGAGTGCCGCACCAGAGGAAGCCGTCAATCTGCATGCTGCCCAGCTGGTCGGCTGACCACCACAGGCGGTCTGCCGCGCTGTTCGGACGGCGGCCGCGCCGGATCCATGGGCAGGGCGCTGAAGACGGACGCGCCGTCTATGACGGGATCAGCAAGGGTCGCGAAGCCTCTGTCATCCCCCGGCCTCCTGGTCTCTTCGGCAAAAGCAGACCGTGCACCGTGTCGCGCAGCGTGGGAAGGCGCGCGCGCAGTCCGTCAGCTGCGCCGCATGCTGCGAGCAACTCTGGGCCGAACGGTGATCTGCACTTGTGCGACTGGCTCGCAGCGTCCAGCAAGTGGAACGCCCGCATGTCGGCGCGGCGGCAGTTGTCGGAAGGCACGCATACGGCCCCTCTCGTGCCGTATCCTGTCTCCTCCTCTTGAACGACGCATCGCTGCGCGCGCTAAGTTCGCCTGGCAAGCTCCATGGATGCATTTGCGCTGCGTGCCTTGCTCTTCTGCATGGCCTGAACAACTGAATAGAGCTGCGTCGCAAATCGGATGAGCAAGTTGTTCTCGGCTCTCTGCAGGGCGACGACGCACGCGGGCAGCGGCGCTTGGCGAGCACGGCGAAGGCCGGTGCCCCCAGGAAAGAAACAAAGGTCCGGAAGGTGACCTCCGCCGGCATCGTCGGCCGTGGCCTTGCCGAGGTCGGCGCGTTTGATCGGCATCAGCACGTCGATGTGCTCGCCCTGGTCGAGCGCCACGATCCATCGGCACCGCGGCGCCAGCGCACTTCGCAGTTGGTAAAGTCGTCGCAATCACCCTTAATCTTGTCGAAGACGCACCCGATGCGGCCGAAGAGCTGGTCGACGTCGACGTGCTCCTGGTGCCCAGCAATCTCCAGATCGGCAACGCGCTTGGACACCATTGATCAGCAGCCCGTGCCCGGCTGAATGCAATGCGAACACTCGGTCTGCTCGTTGTAGCTCTCTCGTAGCGGGGCATCGGCCGGAAAGTGGCGGCACTGCTGGGCGGCCGCGTGAGGGTCACCTCGCGGGGTGCTTCATTTTGCCCACTGCATTTCGACGTGGGCCGTGCCCCGCAGGGGGGCCTGCTTGACGCGCACGGCGACGTGACAGTGTCTGGGCGACGCGCCGCCTCAGAAGATCGCTGCGCCAGGCAGCGTCTCCAGGGCCCCGGCGCCCATGTCGCTGAAACCCTTCAGAGCCATGCGTCGCCGGATGATGCGGACGGCCATGCCGTCTGATCCTGTCCGGTGGTTCCACTCGGAGACGCGTCTGGGGCCCATCGTGTTTGGTCGCCCTCGAGCGGTCGCCTCTCGAAGCGTTCGCACTTAACCCAAATTGGCCGCTGCGACCTCTCTCTTTCACTCCCTCGTGGGTCAGTCGGACGACGTCGCGCCAGATGACCTCGGTCTCGCGGCGGCATATGTTAAGCGCGGCTGTCCAGGGAGCGCAAGCGGCGCAGTCGCCAGACGCTGCCTCGTTGAAGCTCAAGAGTGCTTCATGCACCTATGGATCAAGATAAATGTCCACATGCCTTCCTCAATTGTCGATATCCTCTTCCAGAGTGGCGTATTCGTCCAAGGAGGCCCCGCGCGGGAAGCAGTGGCACTGCGCGTGGATGCTCCGGCGCTGGTGCGTGCGTCTCGAAAAATGGTGCCACTGGTGGAGCCCCCAGCCAAGGCCGGCCGCGGCGTGCTCGACAGCAAGTTAATCTCCTGCTGGCAGCCAGTGCTCTCCAGCCCCTCGAGCTCCACGCTCAGGTCGTCTGCCCCTTCGACCTCGCGCCAGGAGGCCAATATCGCCTGTTGGATGTGGCCGGAGGAGTCGCCGCCGATCTCCTCAGGCATAGCCGACAGGGCTGATGATGAACAACCCTCGGCGGCGCGGGCAGCGTCCTCGGGAACGTCGACGACGCAGTCATCGAACGATCCGTCTGGATATTTACAGCGCCTGCTACCAGCAGCGGTTCGTCACCCAAGATGAACTGAATGACGCGAGCTTCCTTCCAATGCTCGCCAATAAGCTGATGCGTGTCGAACTTGACGCCGTCGAGGTGGATTGATAGATGTCAATCGGGCTCTGAGGAAATCACAGGACAGCCGCGCTGCGGGTGCAGCGAGGCTAATTGCCTACAAATTTCTGGCCGCGCGTCAAACGCACGGCACAAACGTCTGGCGACCGAATCGCGCATGGCGGGGCCTCGAAGGCTCTCGAGCCCCTTCTTGATGAGCACCAGGCTGGGCATGAATCCCCGACGAAGATGCGCTTGAATATCTTCTCCTGCCACCCGATCATTGCGCATGGTATCCAACGCAGGCAGCTTGGCCCGCCCAGCGCCTTGCCGAGCAGACGCGGTCGGCGTGGCGCCGACATCCTGGCCGAGCAACGAACGGCGGGAATGCGCGCCTGCAGAGTACGTATCTCGCATGGGCGCTCGCGCCCTCGCGGCCAGATTCGCCGGGCGCCGGGGCGATTGCCCGGCGGGGCCCGCTGGCCCCGCCGCGCCGACAAGTCGGTCTACTGGCGCCCTAATACGGCGCCATCTTCCCGCAAATGTCGCACAAACATCGCGTTGGCGCGGCCGCCGCCCGAAACTGAGCCGCTCCGGCGTAGCGCGGCGCTCTCTTCCAAACCAAGATCTAGGCGTGCAAATTTCCACGGGGGCGCGCGTGGCCATGTGCTGGGACTGAGGCCACCGTGGCCACTGGGGATCGGGGGGCGAAGGGCCGCTGGCAAGGGAGCGACGCGGCATCAGGGGCTGGGAGCGAAAGGGCGAGAGTCGGTCGCAATGCAATGGGGCGGCGAAGCGACGGCGGGCGGAATGGAGCCACGGAGAAGGAGCAAACGGTGTGAGATGGACCGGGCGGGGGGGCGCGACTCGTCTGCTCCCCCGCGCCGAGACAAGCTCAAGGCTTCGCTGTTCCGATTCGCGCCGGGCGCTGGCGAGGGCGCGCGCGTGCTCTTCGCCTGCGTTCTGCAGGGCCCCGTCGCCGTCGGCTCCGCTGCCGCGCTCGTTCGCGACCTCGATTGGAACTTCGCGCCGTTCGACGAGATGGAAGAACCAGGGCACGCGTTCTTGCAAGGTCGCGTCTCTTGGAATGCGTCCTCGACAATTGCCCCTTCAGGTCGGGTGCGGAGTCGTCTCGGGGTCCGATTGGGCGCCAGAAAGGCCCAGACCAGTCGCTTCGAAGGGCGACGGCGGCGGCGTGGAGAAACCGATCTCATCGCAGAGGCGACCCCTGGCAGATGCTGACTCCGCGGCGCGGAACCCCTGGCCCCTGGCTGTTCAACTTGCGCAGGCGCAAGAAATCGGAACAACGCTGCAGCTGCGCGCCTACAGTCTCGGGAGGGCCCGGTGGCGGCGGGCCGCCATCTGATTCCTCCTCCGGCGAAGGTTCGGGCTCCTCGCTGACGCCTCTGTCGCGCCCGTCGCGGCAGGCTCAGATGCCAGTTGCTAAGGCGGCGGCCGAACAGAACGGCCAGCCGGCGGGCCGCCTTTCGACGATCGGGGGGCCGGCGTGCGCCCCCAGAGCGCGGCAACTGCGGGGGACTTCTGGTTTCACTATGGGCCCCCCGCGCGGATGGAGCAACTCTTCAGCGTCTGGGCCGCCGCGGGATCGCGCCCTGATTGTCTCTGCTAACGGGCCCGCCTGGCTCCCTTTGCGGGGCCGCCAGCGCCCGGCGCGTTGGGCGCGGGAGCTGGCCCCGCACTGCGGGACAGGACGCGGGGCTCGCGAGATCTGGCGCCTCGCCCGATCGCGCGACGCGCCTGTCACAATAAGGCCCAAGGGGGCTATCTGCAATGCAGAACGGTTTGCAAACCAACAACGGCACCGACTCCGTTTTGGAACTCCCGCTCAGGAGGTGTTCCGCGCTTTTGTGGGTCTTAGATCTTGGCTGCGCCGCAGCGGCGCGAGCTGGCAGAAGTCCCGCAACATCTTTTCGCGCGCCATTCGGCTGGGGCCCATGCTAACAGGGCGGGCGGGGGCGCGCCGATCACCAAAGGTGACTGGGTCTGTGGATCCTGACTTTGGCGCACTTGTTGGTGCTGTTTCTGGTGCGTCATCCGTCGGGTTCTGCGAGGTCATGGTCGTTGCTGTCATGGGCGTCGCCTCTGCGCCAGCTTCGCTGGGCGCCTTGGAAGCTCACGTTGCTTCGCGCGCCCGACTCAGCCCATCCAGAGGCGTTGCCCGAGAGAGTTGTCAGGGCACTAGCCGAGGTCACAGCGGGGCCCTCTGGCCACAGACGCACAACGTCCCCGCGGTCAGCCCAAATATTGCAATTTGACCATTTCGACCCCTCGCGCGCCACAGGGGACAAAAATATTCCTCAGCCCAATATACGCCGCCACATCCAGCCGGGAAAACCACGTAGCTAATGCATGGGGCCTCGAGAAGGCCCGATGCGTTTTCTGCGCGTCCTGGGGTTTCGGGCAGTGCTGGAACCCCAGAAACAATGTGTTTGAACCTGCGGACCCGCCGCTTATTGAAACGGGCAGGATATCGTCGCACATGGTTCCGCATCTGCACGCATCCTGTCATTGCAAGCGCTGTTTCTGGGCAGCGCTCGGGTCACCCCGAAGCGCGGCCTGGGCCCTCGCGAGGCCTTCGCTCCAATAGTGCTGCAAGGATGCCCCACCCCCCCGAGAGGATGCGCCACTCGAGGCCTCATTCTCAGGCGTTCTCACACTGCCCGGCGCGCGCCGCGCGCCACCTGCACTCGCGCGCGCAAAATATCCCACCGAGAACGTCGCCATCGCCCCAGCGAGGGGCGCTCTTGGACCCTTGTCGGGACTCTTTGGGGAATCTCCGCGGATGCTAGAGGATCTGGTGAATGTGCGGCGCCAATCTCGGGGACGTCCAGGTGCCCCGAATCGCGAGGCGGTCGAATTCTCAAAGCCCCGGGATAGCAGGCGCAATAAAAAATAAGATAACATTGATTCGGGTAGACCATAAAAAAAAGGCGCAGGGCCGGAGCGCCGAGCGGACAGGCGCTGCGAGCATCGCGCCGAGACCAGAAAGCCGCGCGCGCGCATCAAACCTACAAGCGCGAGGGCACAGGACGGGTGATCGAAGGGTCCCCTGGGCAATGACAAAGCTCTAAGGGCCTTTAGGCTACGGTGGCCCTGCGCCAGGCGGATTGCCGGGGCGCCGCGAAGCCCCCCCAGGGGTTCCCTGAAGTTCGACAGACACCCCGCCGACGCCCCCTCAAGGCTGCCAAGAGGGCCGGGAGGCCCCGCGGCGGACCAACAACCTGTCTCGGACAAGGCTCTGATTCGCGACTGATCGCCGTCATCTCGGGGCCTTGCCGAAGCCTTCCCGAGGCGGCCCCGACGGCCCGAAGCGGGGCCAGAGGGGCCCAAGACGGCCCGCCAACTTGTCGCGGACCAGGCCCTTGTTCGCGGCAGGTTGTGAAACTGCCGCGGGGCCTTGCGGGGGCTATCCTGATGCATTTCTGAAACATGAGACCCCAAGAGGCCCCCCCCCATAATAGGTTCATAGGTCACGGGGGCTCCGTGGACGCGACGCCCGCGGCGCCGACGCAATTTTACGCACCGCGCCGCTGATCCATATCGCATGCGCCGCATTATTTCTTGTTGATCCGATTTTGGCCCCACGGTCCGCCAGGCGCGAAGCTGAGAGCATCTGCGGGACAGATGGCGCAGAGCTTCGAGGATGTCGGGGCGCTGCTGGATCCGCGCGGTGATCTGTGCATCCCTCGCGTCCCTCCAGTGGCCGAAGGCCCTGGCCACGGGGCCTGGCATGGCCTGTTCCACGAAAATCCCACGCGCGGTCCCAGCCCAGGCCTGCTCGCGGCACTCCAGTGCCCACGTCGTCGACGACGGCGCCGATCGATGAAGGGCGGAAAGTCGAACCTCCAGCGACCCCTCCCCCAAGACGCCCCCTCCCCCAAAACACCCCCTCTTCTAGCCGACGGCGGTGGTGCGAGGCGGAAACTCACCCGTAATCGCCGACGCCCTCGCTTTGCTGGCACAGATCGTCGGCCCAAATCCGGAGGGCAGCGACGTCTGTGCAACGACTGCCGCACCACCTGCCCCGCTCCCTGGAAATCCGGCGCTCTGCTGACGTCTGGGGGAGGGGGCTCCCGCTGCGGGCTCAGGGGCTGGACCCAGGATCCGCCCTGGAGGGTGGAGGGGCGGCACAGGGAGCAGAAAAGCAAACAGAACACTGGAGTGCTCCGAGGAACTCCTGGAGGTCCGCGCGGGCTTTTCGAGGCGGCGCTCGACCCGCCAGCCGGGTCCAGCGCCGACCCGAGAGATCCGCACTGACCTCATTGGTCCTCTTCGAAAAAGGTTACTCCGCGGCTGCTCCGACCCGCGGCCCCCCTCGGGTGGTGCCCCAATGCTTCTGGCACAACTGCCGCAGGTGTTTGTCCATGACCTGCCGGTAGCGGCGAGACCCTGGCTCGCTCGCCTTACCCTCCTCCGACCCCGCCTCTGCCTCTGTCCAGCCCCGCCTCCTCCCTCCTCCTCCTCATGCACATGCACCTCCTCCGTCCTCCTGCTCCCTGGTCCATGATCCCTGCCCGTTCTCCTTTTCCTCGTCTTTCTCCTCCCTCGGGGGAGAAACAAACAAAGACCACAGCCACCGAGAAACCATCGGGCGGGAGGGGGCCGTCCCCTAGGCGGTGGCACGCCCGGGCGTCACCCAGTACTGGACGACGCTCAGGCGTGCCACCGCACAGGCTTGGGTCCCCCCGATGGGTTTTCGGTGGCGCTGGTTTCTGCTTCTCCCTCCCTCCCTCCTTCTCCTCGTCCTCCTCCTCCTCCGTAATCCTCCTCCTCATCTTCCTCCTCCTCCTCCTCCTCCTCCTCCTCCTCTCCTCTCCCTCCTCCTCCCATCCCTCCTCCTCCCATCCCTCCTCCTCCCATCCTCCTCCTCCCATCCTCCTCCTCCTCCTCCTCCTCCTCCTCCTCCTCCTGCACCTCCCGGGCGCCTCAGAAGGGTGGTTGCTGCTAGGCGGGATACCATCAACGGCCTGCTCAGAACCCAACGGGCAGAGCATCACGAGTTCACGGTCTCGCTTCGGCGGATGGCCTCGGGCGTTCCAGCGGCGCCTCTGGAATCCAGGTCCTCGCAAGCTCCACACCCGACGGACGGCAACCTCCCGGCCCCAGGACCCAGTCGGCGGCGCGGACGGCGATCGTGATCGCGTCATATCTGACATCCTACCCCTCCCTCCCATCCCTTACCATGGCGTAGATCCCCCCTCTACTCGCACAGTCGGATGTCGAGCAGGGCAATGATCCCGAAAGGGTACGCGATGCATTGTAGAGCACGGCATGGCATGGCGTAGAAGAGCACCACAAAGCGTAGTATGTCACAGCATGGCGTGGCGTGGCGTGGCGTAGTGAAGATTTGCATCACAAAGCTTTGCAACGCAAAGCATGGCATCGCACAGCGGTCCCGAACATAACATTGCATAGCATGGCGTTGAAGATCAAAGCGTAGCATGGCATAGCATGACGTGGCACTTAAGCACTGGATATGACAGCTGCAGCTGAAGGCATGGCATCGCGCAGCGGAACGCAACCTAGCATTACATTGCATGCCGTGGCATGGCAAGGGAAATGACGCCAGCGCTGCAGCGGGAGCACGATTCGGAACGAGCGGAAGCGCGGAAATGAGGCCAGCGCTGCAGCGGGAGCACGATTCGGAACGAGCGGAAGCACGGAAATGAGGCCAACGCTGCAGCGGGAGCACGATTCGGAACGAGCGGAAGCCCGAAAATGAGGCCCGCGCCTCAGTGAGAGCATCATTTTGAAAACAAGCCCAAGCGACAACACAACCCCGGGAAATCCGGTGTAAAAAACAATACGCGGAGGGGTGCCCGCTATCTTCCGCACGCCATCAGGGGATGGAGGGGAGTAGTACACCCTGCGAAATGCTTAAGAAATCATGGGTTAAGAAATTCATAGTCTCAGAACTTGAAATCTAACCCAACATTTCTATTATAATCTTAAGATCTACATTGAAACATTAAGAATCATCGAGACCCTGGCCGAAAATTTAAGTTTTCTTGAACATCGCCTAAGGTGTATTTTGTAATTGTGGAGGAGGAGGAGGCAAGTCTCTGCCGCGCGACGGCGTGCAGCTTCCCAGCAGTCGACGCTGCGAAGTCACCAGAAGGCATTTGCGCGCGGTTCCATCAGGCGGTACACGCACGAGAGGGCGTGCTATATCCGGCCCTTGAAACGTCGCCGAGCTCGAATAAAATCACAGCGCTGTGAAGGCGTTCGGATAATAACGTTGCCCACGGCAGCGCGTCGTGGTACGTTGGGCAGGCGATCCGCAGGACAGCCGAAGGCTACATGTGCAGAGCGCGCCTGGGCGGGGAGGGCTGATCGAGGGCCGCCCAACTGAGCTGCCTCCTCTCCGCCGGAGCGGACTCAGGCGCCCCTCCACCCCCTCATCTCATCTCCCCTCTCTTAAAGAGCCCAGGGACACACAAAGAAATACGTAAAGGCACACATCCCAGCCAAGATCCATCATCTGCTTCCATATTTGCTTGAGTTCCGTCTTCCCCTCCACTTCCCATGCTTTTCTGGAGATCGTTGCTTATTGGTGTCTGTGTCGATGTCTCCCTCTTGGCTTCTGCAACATTCCTCACACCTGCGCTGCGCCTGCTGGCCGTGGAACGGCCAGGTCTCAGAGGGCGAGAGAGAGAGAGAGAGAGAGAGCGAGAGAAAGGGAGAAAAAGAGAGAGACAGAGAGAGAGAGAGAGAGAGAACGAGAGAGAGAGAGAGAGAACACGACAGAAAAAGAGAGAGAACGAGAGAGAACGAGAAAGAGAGAGAGAGAGGGAGCAAGAAAGAGAGAGAGGCCGCGCACGTCAAGTGTGCAGCTGCAAAGAGGTAGTGGGGGGGGCGGTCTCGAGGCAGGTCCGCAGCGCGGACCCGCGGAGCCTCACAGACCCATATGAGTTCGGCTCGCGGGCCTGCCCTTCTGAGATGCCGCCCCTGCCTTCGGAGAAAGCCCAGACAACCTCTCGAGGACCTGGCGCTGGCCGTAGTGGCGTCGCGCTTGTCCTGGAGCTCCCCGGAGGGTCTGATGGTCTCCCCCTCTCTCTCTCTCTTTCTCTCTCTCTCTCTCTCTCTTTCTTTCTCTCTCTCTCCTCGCGCGTCTTGCCCCCTGCACTCGAGCTCGCGTCGCTGCTCTCACGCGTTCTGAAGGAATATATTCCAAGTAATATATATATATATATATGTATGGATACCACTGTAAGAAGCGCTTCCCACGGGGGAATGTGGACTGGACGAGATCGCTATCCAAGCCTGCGACCATAAGTGCCACAACGTCTCAAGATGTCGAGAACGACGCATTGTTGTCAGCCCAAAAGGCGCGATTGACGACGCGCGCAGGCTGTCCGTCCTCGCCCGGCAATGCGATTCCCATGACGGGCAAGTTCCACTTTCGGACTACGGGGCCCCATGCGTTGCCAACTGCCGCCCCTCATTGGCCCGGCGTCTCCGCGGATCCCTGTTCGCCGCCACCCACCCCCGCAGCCGGGGCCGAACAACCCGCGCGCATTCCGCTTATAGTTCGCTGGACTCCTGCATCGCGGCCCGGCGCCCCGTTGCAGAGGAAAGATGTCGCCGTCAAGACGCGGCGTGGAATCGACGGCGGTCACCGCGCACTGCCCCGACGCCACCAAAGGGAGCCCCCAAGTGAACGGCGCGTGCAGCAGTCCCCGCGCCAAACAGACCAGCCAGATCAGACGCAATCGTTCTCGGTCGGAAGGAAGCCGCGCGCACGCGCGGATGATGCTCGCATGTGCAAGCGCGGGGCTGGCTGCGCTGCGCGCGTGAACTGTCTCCGCGGCGTCGGAGTCTGGCATGGCCATCGCATGTCGTCGAACAAACTCAGCGCGCTTCAATGTGGGGACGCCCGCGCACAGCATAATCTTCCAAAAAGGCGACTCTGGGGCCCCAGGGTCAATGCTGCGCGCTCTTCGAACATGGCGAGGACATGAACGGTGGCTACGGGGGGCAACTGCAAGAACACATCAAATGTTACGCCGTCAACGCCAGCTGCTTCTCCGGGGCGTAGGCGCGCCTGGGCCCGTAATGTCCCAGCGTTCATCTCTTAGGAATTCCACCGCCCAGCCGGTCATCTCGCCACCCGAATGAGGAGCATGTAATAAACTTGCTTGCGCCTCGGATGAGATGTCATCACCGCCCAAAACCTCTTCCCCCAGGCTGTGGAAATCTGCTTCCAACTAACGCCCCCGGCCACAACTCACATGTCCTTCAAATTTCACACATTGAGGCCCCCCAAGCGTCTCTCCGGAATGATTTTGCAAACCGACAAGCAGCCGCTCAGCTCGAATCTCTGCTCCGCTCGAATATTCATGGGTTTGTGGGGACCGCTCAAACCTGTCTTTGAAGGTCGCGCCTTCGCTCAACAACGGCCTCGCTCTTCCACTCGCGCCTCCCGCGCACGCCCCTGCAAAACGGCATCGGCAGAATAGCATTCATGCGCGGCCTGCGCGGTGAAGACGCAGATCTCGCAGCATCCCAAGTTCAAAATGGATGCTGCGCTTTGGATCGTTGTCTCTTGAAACTCGCTGTAACTCGTCGAATGCTGGGAAGGTCTTCTTCGGAATCTTCGGGCCTCGCGGCATCCAGGGGTCAGCAGGGCCTCGAGCATCAGGCGCAACGTTCCCGAGCATACCCCAAAGGATGTCAGCCCGAACTGGCCGATGGCCCATTCCAGTGGTGAGGGGCTTTTCCGGTTTCAAGTCGAAACGACTCACTGCTGCGGCATGTCCGCAGAGCTCTCCTGCAATAGCTACATGCTCGGTCTGTGAACGCTGCAACGGTGGTCTTCGCATTCCACGCTCCCGCAATTACGATCGGGTTTCCAAGGCCCCCAATGCGTTCGGAGCCCTCAAACCAAATGCCCCCATTCCACCCCGCAATTTCAACTGCGTGGAAGCCGCGCAGGACTTCATCTTGACAATTGCAGCGGGCCCTGTAAAATCCTTGAAACTGTTCCGAAGAAACACGCTAGCACCAAAGCCTACATTGACGGAAAAAATGTGTCCGTATCTACCCTGGCATTCTCTTCAACAGCTAGGCGGTTTTATGGCGTGCCTGTTCCAGCGCGTGCTCGTGGTCATCATCATCGGCACCTGCGCTATCACAGGGGTACTGGGGAAAGCGGGCGGAGAAAATGAGAGTAAATCTATTGGGGCCGACCTTCATGACCATCCCGCCCCAACACGGGCCATACCGCTCGCTTGTTATATCTGGAACCAAAGAATCTGGCTCCAAACAACCACAATCGAATCCGCTCCGACAAACGGCTTCGTCAGACTTGGGACGGCCACCGTGCACTGCGAATATAATTCGGTTCCCAACGCAAGACCTCCTGCAAGCAAACCATTCAATTGTTGCATCCAAGGCAGCCCAAACTCCTAGCGATACGAGGGGCCTTGCAATGGTTCCGTTCATGCACGTTGCATGTCCATGCCGAGCATTGTTTCAAACGGCTTGAATTCGGCAGCGGGCTGTCCCATCGCTGACGGTTCCAGCGGCACTGGCCAAACAATGTGCGAGCCCCGCTCTCCGTGAGCCCTGCATCCCAAATCGCAGCGTCATGGTCCCAAACTGTGACCGGGATCCATGTCGGCTTCGCGGCAGTGTTCCCCGTCCGTATCCGAAATAGTCACCATGACGCCACGGGTTCAGGGGACCAAGACGCCACGGGCTCAAGGTCAACGTGGGACTCTTTGGCCGAACCGAAAGCTTGTCCCAAGGTGGCGTACTTGGCCTGAGCATATGTGCCCATAGTTGTTCCGATCCTTCGTATAATCCCCC